TTATGGACGCGGTCCTCCTCATCTTCGTCATCATCATCGTCGTCTTCGATATCAATGGCTTCAGCGTCTTTCGCCTCGTTAATCCGTTGCGCCTCCACTAAATCATGATAGGTGCCTTTGCGATCTACGAGTTCACCGTGGTTACCTTGCTCCACAATCCTGCCATCGACCAAGACAACGATGTTGTGGGCCGCCTTGATGGTCGACAGACGGTGAGCAATCACAATGGTTGTCCGGCCCTCGGCAGCTTTGTCAAGGGCGGCCTGCACAATTCCTTCCGACTTGGTGTCCAGGGCAGACGTCGCCTCGTCGAGCAAGAGGATCTTGGGGTCACTAACTATGGCGCGGGCGATGGCAATCCGCTGCTTCTGGCCACCAGAGAGCAAGAAACCGCGCTGTCCAACATTAGTTTCGTAGCCTTCGGGCAGGCCCGAGATAAAGTCGTGAGCATTGGCCATCTTTGCCGCATTTTCAATCAATTCCCTGATCTTTTCCTCGGTTGCGTGTTCGTATTGCGTGCCAAACAAGCCATACTTGATGTTCTGGTAGATCGTTGTGCCAAACAAAACGGGTTCCTGGCTAACCAGAGAAACTTGCTGGCGCAGCCAACGGAGGTTGAGGCCCTGAATATCGTGACCATCTAAGAAGACCGCGCCACTGACGGGGAAGTAAAAGCGTTCCACCAGACCAACCACCGTGCTCTTGCCTGACCCCGAGGGCCCCACCAATGCGGTGGTCTTCCCAGCCGGGATAGACAAGGACACATCTTCCATAATCGTAACCTCGGGGCGAGAAGGATAGATGTGCTTAACGTTCCTTAACTCGATATTGCCCTCCAGATGCTCCAGAATATCTCCCTCGTCGGAGTAGGGGTCCAACGGGGAGGGACGGTCGATCGTGGTGTAGATCTTGGCAGCGGCGGCTATGGCCCCGGCGAAAGCTTGTCCATTCGGGCTCACGTTGCCGAGACTGAAGGAACCGATCAGGATGGACATCAACACAGTGATTACCTCCCCAACGTCGATCTCATGGTTGACGATGAAACGGGAGCCCATCCAGAAACCAAGGCCGTAGTTGGAAAACATTACACCAAACATCGCCCCGATCATCAAGCCAACGATGATTTGCACTCTGGTACCGGGTTTCCGACCTTCGTCCAAGTGCGCCTCGTACTGTCGGGCCAGCTTATCCTGCGTGCCAAAGGCGGTCGCATTCCGGATTGAACTGATTACTTCCTCTGCAACGGTGCCACCAGCACCGTAGTGTTCCAGGGCGTCCTTGCTGTTCTTGATGATAAATCGAGAGCTTCCACCCATCACCAGGACCAGAGCAACGATCGTCGAAGAACAGATCAGGGCGAGTTTCCAATACTTGATATAGGCCACAACAAACGCGGCGACGAAGGTAGCGATGGCCGTCAGGGTGAGTCCAACCTTCTCGGACACACCGTCCTGGATGAGGTTGGTGTCGCCAGTGATGCGTGTCGTCACCTCGCCGGCACCCAGCTTGTCGAAATAAGCCATATTCTGTCGCAGAATGGCCTGAAGATAATGCTCGCGAATCTTTTGAGTGATATGCTCGCCGGTATAGATGAAACCGACGGTACTGATATATATCGTCGCAAACTCGCCAATTCCAAGATAAATAAAATACAAAACATTCTCCACCAATAAGTCATTGAATGCATCAAACGACATGGAATTCAGGGAGATTCCCTGGAACCCCGAAGTCAACGAGCCAAAAACGATCTGGGAGAGATGGTCAGCATGCGCCGTTGTATTGCGCAGAAGGCGCTAGAGACCCGATTGATCAAAACCTACCGTCATCAAGGGCAGTGCAACACCTGCAGCAATGGCGCAGATGGAGCTCACGGCGATGATGAAGATATCCATTTTCGTCGCATAACGGTAGAGAAGGAAAAACGACACCTTGACCTCCTCTGCCTCGAGCTGCTTCCTGAGGACGTTCCTCTCGTCCTCCATGAGATGGCCATACAGCGAGTCAGTCTCCTCACCCACGGAGACTTGGTTAGCGGGCGGCAGCTGCACATCCGGTTCTTTCTCCGATCTGGGAGCTACTGTTGAACCGGAGACCGTCGATTGTGCCTTCGATGTCGAACGCACCAGGGGAGCCGCCGGGGGGAGCTCCTGTCTCTGCGACCCGGGCCTGTCCACCTCCATGTCCTCGGGGACATTGGAGGGTACATTGTCGTTTTCGGGCGAAGGCGCCATGCTGTTATCGCGCCTCAGGCTGTGTCGGGGTTGTCGATATCGCGAAGCAGTGCGGCCACTCTAGATCGCCACTACTCCATGAGGCGAGAATGCGAAAAGGTCGAAGAAAGTTTGAAGGACGGAACACTGGATGAGACGATAACCACCCCTTTAATGGGGGGACAAGGGTGGCAATGAGAAGCGTGTCGAAGTGGAATCCAACACGCCGCGACCCCGTGTGGGGGGGGGGGGGGGTTAGAATAACGAAGGGCGTCCTAGGAAACCCTCCCAGTGGATACAACCCGAATACCGTGAGAACGGAATGCAAACACGTCCCTTGTTGTGTGGAGAATGGTATGAGACCGTGTGCCTTGCCCCCAAGGGTTCCAGAGAGAAGAAGAATAGATAATAAGAAATGAAAGGGGTGAGGAAAGGGGCAGAAAGGGCAAAGTCACTTCTTTCAGGATTTTGAAGTATTAATTTACACCGAGACAATTCGGCACGAAGGAGAAGACCCTCTTTAAAGTACATAAAATCCAGCACAAAAAGGCCGTCACGTTTGCATACAGATTGTGTCGGAATAAAAAACAAAATCTACCCTTCAGCATTGTCTCCCAACCAATCGGAGTTCTGACCTTCCGAATAATTTTTATGCACTAGTTTGGCTCTTCAATACCTCTTGTAATTCAATACTTATCTTTCACGATTCAGGATCTAGAATATCCATCAACATTATCATCATCATCATGGTAATACTACAGATACATAGGCATACCTCATAACATCCGATGCAGTGGCACCGCATGAAGAATCAACCCGATATGGTCTTGGCCTGTCGCCTTATCCTACCCTACCAAAGGCAATGCTAATATTAATACTCTGTAGTGTTCATCATAACCAGCAATTCTCCACTCGATATCTTGGAGAAAACCTTTCCATGGTTCGAGATTATAAATAGGACCGATCAGATACGATCAATGTTTCGAGGTAAGATGCACGTTACCCCGTTACAAATACAACCTTAAACCACGAGGACATCCAGACGCAAGGTGACCATCCCAATATCACCCTCCTCAACAACCCAACTCGTCACCAGCGGATCCTGTTCCTAGATCATAATGGGGCATTGGCCACGCATTAGGATTCAGCCCCTGGTCTCATACCGACATGTGCGATCGGCTGGGGTCATGAAGTTGAGAGTTAATTGTCTTGTCTGACACGGATGACTCGACAGTCCTTGATGATCAACTGGTGATAGCCCCAATTGACAGGCTCACGGACTTTAGCGTTCTGACTCACGGACTGCCGCTGATTCGAGGCATAGATCAGATAATATCATGTCTTATATTCTACCGGACGCCTAATACAAGAAATGACGCGGCGAAGAGTCTCAGTGCTATATCTGGGGAGTCGGGTGGACCCTCATCCATTTGATACAACCTATTAGGCACCCCCTCCCATGGGATCGGGATCGCCCACAAACTGTAGTCATTGTCTAAAGGCATGACAATGTCCCTACGGAGTACACCGATTAGAAGTAAGTCGGAGACCGTTTAAGGAAAATCCTCCTCTCACCTAAGTTCCATGATTTTAAGACATGACAATGTCCGGGCTCTTCATTCGCCAAAACACTGATCGATTCCGTACAAGAAAGTCGGGGACCGTTTAAGGAAATGTATTAACGCCGGTATGCTTGTTACAGACTAGTAATTATCCCGTCTGACCTGCATACCCATTACCCACCCTTTACTGCCTACACGAACACAAAGAATTCGGGCTCGGGGTGATCCGGACCCCGAGCATGTCCTAATCCATCTCCAGCGATCAACCATGGACCCGGTCTGGCTCTCGTATTCGTTCTGGACTGAACGTGATTGGGTGAGATGTTGTTGCCTAAGCTTTCACTCTATCTCGGTCCAGGCTTGATCTTGATGTATTCCAACAATCGCGCTGATTTTCATGTGGGTCATTGAACCCATACAAAGGTACTCTGGATAATCCATTTCCTATCTTCTCTATAGAAATAATTCACTACCCCGTATAAGAAGTCAACACCGCCCAACAAGATGAATTTTAAACCATCCCACATGATACTAAAAACACGAGATCACATCAGGATGCGGCTATCCTGCATAGACTAGATCCGCTCCCTCCATATTAACCCGCCATTATAGCTTATTATTATACGGGATGTAAAATCCCCGATCTAATACTACCACAATGACTCCTCAAACACGAGGCTCAACAAAGTAATCCCGTTTAGGTGCGGCCGGGTAGACTGGTCAGACAGACCGGTGGACTCCCGCCCGAACGAGCGGAAATGGGAAGAAAAACGCCGTTGACTCGAAATGGCTCTACGGCAGTTCAGGCTCCCGCATTCGGAGCACGGATGGCTTCTCGATTGAAGCGGAATTCTCTAGAAGGTGGCGTGGGTGGCTTGGTCGAGTCTGTGGCCTTCTGATCTATCGATTTCATGAGGCGACTGTTTTATCGACGTGTCCACCAATACGTACAGGTACATCTCTGAGCCGTATTCGGTAGTTATATCTCGTTGGCAGGGTCCTTTTGCCAACGCAAGGGAAATTTAACGTCGCAGTGAGGCTACTGCGCAAAACGGCAGACGTACCTGATGAGGTGTCCATGCAGAGTAGTACTGTTAGGGGGGGGGGGGGGGAAGAAAAGAAAAAAAAAGTCTGCTCCGTAAACACCCATTTAGACTGTTGCGGTCAATACTCACCACGAGTGTGTGTGGAATCTATAGGAGTCAAAAGACAAAAAGTCAAAAAGAAGTGCTCCCACTCGGATTCGAACCGAGGATCTCATCATTACTAGTGATGCGCTTTACCAACTAAGCCATAGGAGCGGATATCTACTGGCTCTTCAAAGCGATCTATATTCCCAAAGTTCCACAGCCGAGGTAAGACAAAAGAAAGACAAAAAAGAAATGCTCCCACTCGGATTCGAACCGAGGATCTCATCATAACTGTGCATACTAGTGATGCGCTTTACCAACTAAGCCATAGGAGCTGATTGGTTGATATGGCCTACCTCTCGGCTTATATTCAGAACATGGGTGCTTCTTTCCAAAGTCCACCACTGTTACCATCTTGCTAACCTGCTGAACTAGGCGCAATATGTATTCTTCTGACTATAGATCCGCTTCTAGTATTACTTTACTAGGTCTAGTATTACTTTACTAGGTCTAGTATCTAGCGTATACCGGCATCAATAATTCTTTTACTCCTAGCCGAGGCTAGTATTCCACGTTCAGGCCCACAGGTGACGCAGGGGGGGTAGAATATATATCATGCAGCCTGGAGCAAAATCCCACCGTTCCACCAACTTTAGTATAGGCTACTTGCCCAGCCATGCAACTATGAGATCCAGAACACAAACGGGTGTCAGACGCAGGGCTTATGCCAAATAGTATGGCGCGCGGTACAAAACAAGCCAAAAACTCAGGTGTATATTCATTATCCCATGTACCACGACTGCCCCGCCCCGGTTGCACTATACTAGGCAAAGCACAATACACGGCAATCACCGAAACATACGCCCAGTTCTCTGAACAGCTACACAGGGAATGCAAGGGACAAATGCGCCAGAGACGTAAGACTACAGGCCAAGGGCCCCAGCAGGTAATGGGCCAGGTAAAGAGATAGTAGGTAGGTGCGGAAGGACCCATGAAAACTGTCAACACACCGATGAAATCAACGACTCCCAAGACTATGAAAAGAGCTGCGAATATTTATAGAGACTATAAGAAAACACGAAGAGTCAAAAAAATAATTCGATAGAAAAAGCCCTACAAGTCAGCTGACATGTTGCCTGACTGCATCTCTCGCAAGCACAGTACGTACCATAGCAGATGACATATATAAATCAGGATATAGCAAATCCTCTATGGATACTTGACCAAGTGAGAATGACATACACCCAGTAGCCTGGTATGATCCGATATGATTGCCCGCGTTTTGGATGGTACTATATTGACACACTAATTATAAGCAAGCATCCATCATCTACACCAGCCTTAACAAGAGTGCAGGGACACCCGCCGGAGGCTCTTGACAGGGGTATACAGAGCCCAGTCGACGACCAAGAAGGATAAAAAAGCATGCTACCGGATGTTTCTCCACATACCCCGAACCAGGAAGTCGAAACGGAAAATAGCCCTCGTGGAACCAGGAGCTTTACAATGCGATTATGGTCAATACGACGGTGTCAGCCCTCTCAGCCCTCATAATCACCAACCAGGCATGGCCACATGTTCATCATGGTATTGGTATTCCAAGCAATAACCAAGAATCATGACCCCCCCCTGGCCGCCACCCGTCGCTCATCAAGGGGTCTCCGGAAGTACCCCAACCCCAAGAGCCGGAAAGCAGAGACGCCACCAAACCGCATACGAAACGAAACCAAATTGTACTCCGGACTCCGAAGTATGCTCAATTCCACGGACAACATTCCACCGTACTCCCGGGATAGCTGAGCATCCAGGCCACTGCAACGCTGCATAAACAACATAAAATGTAATACCCCACACCAAAAAAGGTTGAAGGAGAGAAAAAAAAACAAAAAAGAAATGCTCCCACTCGGATTCGAACCGAGGATCTCATCATACCTGAGAATACTAGTGATGCGCTTTACCAACTAAGCCATAGGAGCTGATTGGTTGATGTTAGGCTTTACTATTGCGATTATTGAATAACATGCAATGTTTTGAACCATCGTGCCAGCTAGAACTGCTATGTCAGTAAATCGATGGCATATTAAAACATGATTTGGATACCTCGAATTATGAATATGCCTCCGTTAATGTATTCACAGACGGCAGGATATGCAGCCCGACAACATGAGTTAGTCAACAGGCCGCATGGGACTCAAATAGTGATCGCTGGTCATACTTTTAGGGTGGCAGAAGCACATACTATCCTGATTCTCGGGTACTTCTCTATCCCCTATTTTCACATTGCTGCGTACTTCTTACTCTTGAATAAATTATCCCTTTTGGTCGATACACCAAAGAGCGAATTTATAAACAAAATACTCAGTCCCTATTTCACACTTCTCACGTCGCAGGGACGCCTTCCTGACCCACGTACCCATTCATGCTTGTTTCTATAATAAAGTATATGCCAGAGGCTACACCTGGTCAGTCCATAATCAAACAGATTGAATTACAAAGCATAGGGTGGCTCTTTGTCATCGTTCAAATCATCCCAACACTGTTTCCTGTATTGTATGGTTTGCTTTTTATCCCCGAGGGATCGTTGTCTATAAAACATTGATAGCAAAACATCATCAGCAGGTCTACCGATGAGAAAATCTACCGGATGAAAAAATGTGTGCAATGTTGGAGACCACTAAACAAACCTACCTACCTCATCTGGGTCACCTGCCTTCCAAGCGGCACCGAGACGTCCCACGGTCAATATCTATGAAGAAATCTATAGGCCTATCTACAAGCTCATGGAGATGATTTGAAGCCTTGGAGGATATTCTAGGGTCGAGTTGCTCTTAGTAACTTCATAGAAACCCATGTTGTCTGAGCCTAGGCTCCCAACGAGGCTCGATTATGGGGAAAAACCGCCCTGTACTAGGTGTTATACTCCAGTCCGGCGGGGAGATTAGCAGATGTAGAGTACCTGGATGGTACTTTTACATTTCTGCACCCTCTGTATTCTAGGAACCTGTTTTTACCACATGACTGATATCACACCAAGCGCAGAGTGTTCTCCAGAGCAGGACCAGTTTGATAGGCCTGCGAAAACATAAATTTCTTGAAAAGAGGTGCAATTACGAAAACAGCAGGCCCATTTAGCCTATCCTATTCACACGGAGATCTTTAAAAAGAATCATAAAGACGGGGACCCAAAATCCAGATTAATACAGTTATAGATTGTCACTTCATAGCAAAAGCCGCAATCATACTTGATTCCTGTCATCGTACAGAATGATTGATCAGAGACATTTCGAGCTCTTGGAGATCCCAATGTTAATGATAAGCTCAGCATGTCTATCAGTTCATAGATGACAACTTGCCATCCCATAAAAACCCAGGAAAACCGGTGGCTCAGTATTTACAGACAACTCGACAGACACGTGGTAATACATCCTTGAATTGCTCCCCATCAGTGGTACTTGGTAGGCGATGGCCAAAGTTGCAAGGGGTTGCCTGTAGTTGTACGATGGTTGTACGATGGTTGCCACTATTTCCCACCGGCTGCAGCTGATTGCAGCTGGCTGTGGATCAGTTGCAGTTGATTGTAGACCATTTATACTTGTATAAGATTAGTTTTGTGAGTACCAAACTAATTACCAAGTTTGATAGAGTTATACACTGTTTGCCTTGCTATTTATCTGTATCAACCACAGATCAGTCTTGAAATCTTCATGTTACTATAACTCCATTAATAGACTCGGATCATATACTCACTATCTAGTAATTGCATCTAGAGCTCTACAGAACAAATTTTGTTGGCATCTTAAGTCAGACATATAGGACGAGTATACTTGCGGGCTGCTGTACTATACCGCTCCTCCTCAACTCCGAAACCCCACAGATTCATAATGTAGACGCCCACTTCAACTGGCCCTGTACACAGCCAGTCCAAGAAGCCCAAAAGGTGACAAAGGATACTGTATAATGACAACAAAAAACAAAAAAAGAAATGCTCCCACTCGGATTCGAACCGAGGATCTCATCATAACTGTGCATACTAGTGATGCGCTTTACCAACTAAGCCATAGGAGCGTTGTTGAAATACTGGGTTCTTATTCCAATATGTGAGACGGTACCAGTGTTCACCCAAAAAAGCACACTTTCCCGTAAACGGAACGCAGCATCCGATTCAACCAATAACCAACCGCCTAGACCTCCCGCCTCAGGCAGCAAATCTATCACATGACCCCACAGAAGCGAACCGCTAAGCCCTGTCCGCACAAAAAAACCACCCGACGAATGGGCCCTTGAAGACAGACCGGTCGACAACCTCACTATCGCCAGTCCATCTACCAGCTCGCCGTCGCGAAAAGTTGTCAAGATGCCGGTTAGTACCCCTACACCATGTGACATGAAGGATCAGTCTACTCCAAATCAATCGCCAGAATGAACGAATCACCCTGACAAGACCGCTTGCTGATAATTCTTTTCCTTTTCGATATATAGAGCCACAAGTCTTTCCGCACCAAGCAGAAGCTTGCCAAAGCCCAGAAGCAGAACCGTCCCATCCCCCAGTGGATCCGTCTGAGGACCGGTAACACCATCAGGTAAATACATCTGCCTTATTTCTCCTCGGATTCGAATCTTCGATCGGTCGGTATACGTGGTGGATTGGATGGACGGACGCACAACGACCTACATCTCGCCTTCGACCAAATACCAGCCACGACAAGGCGCGGGGAAACAAAGAAATAACCAAGCGAGGAAGATAAGGGAATACGAGCGAAAAGAAAGAAACACCACTCAACCGATTGAAGATCCGACGCCGAACCATAAGGAGGACACAGCAGGAAAAAGGACTCAGCTGACTTAATTTTCTCTCTCTCAGATACAACGCTAAGCGCAGGCACTGGCGCAAGACCCGCCTGGGTCTGTAAACAACTCGCATCGTCATCAACACACATTCTCTCCGCGTCCCCTATATCTTTCTCCCTTTTCGATCGAGATGTGCTCCGACCTGCAATTGTTTTTCGTCCCACGGTGATACCGCATACCACACAAAAATGTCTCGCGACCTCGGCCGTTCTGCTTGTCAATCAAATTTAAATTAATCTGCGCTCGTTGTCTGGGCTCTCGTTTCGTTATCATCGATCTGAGCCATCCTTGATCTGAGCCATCCTTTGTCTTCCGAAATCAAC